TCTTCCAATGAGCTCTTCTTGGACTTGAGGCGATGGAGTTCGTCTATTTTCAGCAGTCCGAAGGTCTTGGAGAACCACTTGAGGGTGTTCCACACCTGCCGCAACTTGCACGGGGTGACCTCCTCATCGGCGAGCTGGTTGAGGAGAGAACGGACATGTCGTTCCTGCCATGGGATGACGGTGAAGCCTCTCTTGCGGAGACTCTCGTAGACCAGGCAGTGTTGCCTGAGCGTCCGGAACCTGCTATCCCCCAAGAGGTCCAGTGCTTCCTTGCGGAAGTCCTCCCCCAGGATGTCCTGCATGTATGCGATGTGCTCCGCAAAGGGGGCGAAGTGGGCAAGGAGCCGTTCCGCCCATTTCCCGCGCATATGGAGTTCCAGTGCTCGCTGAGTCGTGGGTTCCATTTCCCTGATCTTCCCGGGCCTCCAGTGCCGCCACTTCAGAAGCTCCGGCTGTTGGAGTGGGGGTGGGTCATCCCGCGAGAACCACCTCAGTTGGTCCTGGTGGTCCAACTCATCTCCAGCGGGGAAAAGTTCTCGCTGAGCTTGCCGTCCGCAGCCGCCATGAGGAGGAGCCATAGGCTATCCCAAAGGTCGGCCAGGTCCCCCGCGGACAAAGGCTGGGGAAGCCTGCCCGCCGCCGACGCCACCAGGCCGTTGAAGTAGTCCGTTGGTACCACTTGGTCAGCCTGGCCCACCGGAATGCCCGCTAGCTCCAGGAGCTGAGCGAAGCGGAGAGCCGGCTCCCCGCCCAGCTGCCTCCCTTCCTCCGCCGTGCCATGGCGCAGGCACATCAGGACCAGCAACTCCCCGTCTGTCTGTCTCGGGGAGATAGACTCATCCGCCAGCGTGTCCCACAGGACCCTTGGGATGCGGTCCCAAAGACGAGTGTAAGGCGGGCGCAACAGAAACTGTGTAGAGACCCTAGCCATGCTGAAAACAAGGGTTCGAGCCTCCTATCGAATGGCCGGGACCCAACCGCGACAAACTGCAAACACGACCAACCCTTCCTGATGCCGAGTGCGCGTGGGGCAGGCAGGCGGCATGCAGCCCACCAAGCCCAAAGAGTCCCCCCCGGAAATCCCCAAAAGAACCACGGAGGGGGGAAGACCCACCCGACGGGGGATTCCCCAAAACCCCCAAGGGGACCTCAGGGAGCCCAGCGTCAGCCGCAGCCACTTTCTTCAAACAGCGGCCGATACGGCCCGTCCTTGGGGCAGCCAAATTGCGCAGCCTCCGGCTCGAGGCAAACCGGCAGTCGTGGCGTGTTGAACAGGGGGGGGAAACCAAGGTGAATGATGAACCCAAAACAAGGGAAACACCCCAACACCTCCCCCCCACCCAAGACGGGGCCAGAGGCACCCAAGTCCCGGTGGGGAGAGATCATACGACTCCACCTCCAAAAGGGTAGTGAGACACCTCCTTTGCCACCGAGTGGATGGCCGCCAGCCCTGACTTCTCTGGGTTGCTCAGGATGACCGACCACAGGGCAGTGGAGACATCCCCCAGGCCATTCGAAGAGCTGAAGCGCATGCGCGGGGCCAAGGACTAGCCGCTCGTTTGTGGGGGGCTCCGTCGGCTCCACCCGCTTGTAGAACTCCATCCTGTCCCGGATCCACTGGTTATAGAGTTGCTCCGGGGGCTCGTCCATCACCAGCTGCAGGCATGTGGCCTTGTCCTTGTGCCAGCCCGTAATCTGGAGCAGCCTGGTCCCCCCACGGCTCGCCTTCCAGAAGCCCTTGCAGAACCTGCACATGTAGCCCCCGGTGGTCTTGAACTTCTCTTTGCCCACCACTTCCCATGCGCTGATGCTGGGCAGGACCAGGCCGCACTCCACCGAGGCCCAGAACACGTGCTTGGTTCCATTCGGGAAGTGCTTGTTGATGTACTTCCGGCCCGCGACCGCCGTGACCGTGGACGTGGTGATCGGGGGGTACCGCCTGGTACCCTGGTCCGGCGTGCGGAGCGTGGTGTCCGCTCCCGCCAGAATCTTGGCCTTCCTTGGCCGCCCCGCCCCCGGGGCCAGGGGCACCCAAGGGGGGGGAGCAGCCCAGCTGCCTGATCAGGTCCTGGGGAGTAGCCCAGCCGGTCGTACAGGGCCCCCGCCGCCTTCTGCGGGACCGGCTCCACCCAGTCATGGACCACGTTGCAACGCCAGTTGACCTTGATCTCCATGGAGGACTTACTCAGGCCCGCCACCAGTTTGGTGTACACCGAGTCAAAAGCCCTCAACGATGACAGCGGAAGTGTGATTCGCTCGTCACAGACCGCCCTGAAACGCAGGGCCTCCTTGCTGTCGTGGACGGGGGCCACCGGGAGCTCCATCACCGGCAATGGGCAATTGACGATGAAGTTCTTGGCTGCCAGAAACGTCCCCATCTCCTTAAAGATGTAGCTCCATTCCGCCTTGCTGCGCGGCTTGGGGATTCCCAGGCTCTCCAGGAAGGGGACCGCCTCCTTCCGCATCTGGAGGATGTTCCCCATCCACTTATCCGAAGTCGAGCCCTCCGCATTGCGGCCCCGTCGCTGCGTCTTCACGACCAGCAGGAATGTGGTCCAAGCCGAGTAGATGTACTTGAAGGTGAAGCGATGGGCGTACACCCCTGTCAAGCTCGGCAGGTCCCACGTGCGAGTCTGCCTTGTCCAAAACACGCCATCGCCCTTAGCCCAGAAGATCCCCACCACCTGCTCCGGCGCCGGGCGCTCACCCCGGTTAACCTGCGCTCGGATCTCCAGGGCCGAGTAGATGATCGGGTCGATGTGGTCCCGCTCACACGTGAGTGGGTGGGTCCTGCGCTCCAGGGCCAGGAGCTCCTCCGGCGAGAGCTTGAATTGCTGGTCCGCGCCCTTGGGGATCTCACCGCTGGAGTGCTTCTTCCAGATCCCCCCAAACATCCGTAGCTCCCCTTCGTGCCTCTTCATCGCCCAGAGGAGCAGGGACAGCTTACCCTCCTCCGAGTCCAGGTCCTGCGGTGGCCCTGACTGGTCCTTCCCGGGGCCAGTGGCATGCTTGGGGGGGGCCGGTGTCGCCAGATCGGGCATCTCCTCCAGCAACGCCTCCTGGTTCCACGGGTTCTGCGCCTCTCTGAGCCTCCGGATGTATGGGACGTACTTCTCCTTGATGTCCCACGTTGGGGATGTCTTCAGGGTCATCCAGCTCCAGGGGGCAGAACAGCCCCCTCTCCAGGGCCTGCCTGAGATCATCTGGCCATGCCGACACCTCCAAGGGCTGGAGGGTGTGGTTAAGCATCCATGCCTGGTTGGTGTCCTGGGTGCGCTTGTTCGCCTCCTGCGCCTCCTGAATGGAGCCCATCGCATCAGCCAGTGCCTGGCTGGCGTCGACACCCTTTCCCTCCAGGTACTGGTCTCGCAGCTTGGCCTTGAATCGCTCCAGGTTGACCTTCCTGAGGGCCCGGCTCCCTCGTTGGCCACCTCCTCTGCCGGCAGGGCCTGCATGCCCTCCTGGAGAGGCGCCAGGATTGCCATCTCATTGTCCAACATCTCATCCGTGACCAACTCCTTGTGCCGCCGCCTGGCCGAGGACTCCTCCGGGGTCGGTTCCCGGTGCTCCCTCAAGGCCTTATGCAGCTCTTCCTTTCTCCGGATCGCCTGGTCCACCTGGGGGTGGTAGAGCTGGAAGCTCTGAGCCTCTGCCTCCTGCAGGGACCGCTGCACCTTGACCTTGACCTCCTGGCGCTCCCGGACCTTCAACGCCTCGTCGTCCGCCTCCATGGACAGGATCTCCTGCCGAATGTCCACCCGCCTGTTAAGCGGGACCACGTCAGCCATAGTGATCTCCTCGGCCGTGTCCGTTTTCGGAGGAGCTCTCCCCAGGATCGTGCCGTCCACCAGGTTGCGGTCTGCCTGTGCCCGGGTACCACCGGGGCCAGCGGCACCCAGGCTTCCCCCATCCCGCTGCTGGATCCAGGTCGGCTTGCCCTCCACAATGAGCAGGTTGTACGTGACGCCGTCCGCCTCGTAGGTAGCCGAGGGTGCCTGGAAGGGGACAAACTCCTTGCCCGGGCAGACCCAGCATTGATTGGCTGCCTCCGGCCACCCCGTGCCGCATGCCTTACACATGAATTTGTAGTCCGAGTGGCCGGCATCGAGTCTGTGCATCCGCTGGGTGCCAATGCATGCCTTATTCCGCTGGAACTGTGAGGCCCAGACCTCCTCTTGCCGGATCTGGATCTTCATCGGAACATAAGCCTCCAGGATGCGAACCACCAAGTCCTCCGTGAGATTCTTCCCGACAAACTTGTGGAACAGGGAGACCGCCTCCTCCACCGTGACGTCCCTCAGCAACGTGGCCGCCGATGCCGGAAGGACCGGGAAGAGGTCTGGGAGGTCAACTAGCTTGAAATAGCCAGGACGGCCATCCACCGGCACCAGGGAGACCGGTTTGTTCACCGGGGCCGTGGTCTTCTGGGAGGCCGCCACGAAGCCCTTCAGCCTCTTCGTTGGTGGAGTAGCCCGCTCCGTGGTGACCGCATCGCCCATCTCCTTGTCCTCGTCCTCGGCGGGGCCAGGGGCACCCAGGCCGGGAGTCGGTGTGGAGAAGGCCACACGGAGCCGCTCCAGTGCACTGGAGAGGTCGTTCATCACATCGGTGGCCGATGCCGACGGGGGCGCCTCGGGCTCATCCAACACCAGGCCGGCCGCCACAGCCGCCTCGCGTGTGCGGACTTCCTGGGCCTCCTGGCTGGCCATTTCCACCTCCTCCGCGGTGAGTGCCTGGTCCTCAATCAACTCGAAGGAAGTTGCCGAAGTTGCCGAGGAGGCCATTGCTGGTTCGGGGTTAGTTCGGAAGTGCTACCTTTCAATTTTTTCACACAAGTTGGGTTCAGAGAACCCAAGAACAAAGCTTGAGCCAAAATGGCCGGGGCCATTATGGTCAAGCATTTCAAACACAGTTCATGTTTCCACATGCGTTTCAACATTAACAAAGAATATTTCAAATGTGGCCCAACCCTATGCCTTCCCCGGTCCCTTGCAACCGGCCTGGCACAATGGCCGGCGACACCACCGGCGTGCCCTCGCGTGCGGGGAATTCGCTTGGTCTTCCAAGGGCAGGGCCTTCTTGATTTTACTCTTGGGTTGAAGTTCAGAATCAGCAAACGGCCCGCTTGTTCAGGGTGGAAGGTCAAAACTGTTTGTTGTTCCCGCGGGGCATCAACTGGGGAAGAATCCCTGGGATACATCCCCTTAGGGATGCAAAACGGAACTTTGGTGTTCTCCGGGCGCCCCAAAACACGAAAGTGCACGAATTCCTCTCGAACATTTATCCTCTGAAAAAACTTGACTGTGCACAACCAAGTCGGCTGGGAGGCTAACCGGCGGTGCTGAGCATTCCTGACACGCCATTTGGACTGGTTGCCAACCCAAATAGTGCTCTGCCAAAAGGAGGCTGATTTTGTAATGGCCAAGGTGGTGGTTGAATCACCTAGACAACAGGACACGTGAGTTTTGTCTGAAAATCAGGGAATTGCTAAAACTGCTGGCTTCCCTTTTGGCCTCCACTTAACACCAAAAGAACGGGCTTCACACCTATAGACAGTAGGGACCCTGCAGAGACATTGGAAGCTCTCGAAACAAATCCACAGCGCGCCTCGCAGGGCCAACGATTACACGCTGAAACAAAACTTATGCCATATGCCTTGTTTTCAGGGTACGCTTGTTGGGTTTGTTTCAAGGGGAGCCATGGAAAACACACACACACGCAGACACAGACACAGATACAAACACAAACACAGAGACAGACACAAACACAGAGACAGAGACAGAGACACACAAAGACACAGACACACACAGAGATACAGACAGAGACAGAGACAGAGACAGAGACAGAGACAGAGACAGAGACAGAGACAGACACACAGAGACACACAGAGACACACAGAGACAAAGACACACGGAGACACACAGAGACACACAGAGACAAAGACACGCGGAGACACACAGACACACAGACACACACACACACACCCACCCACCCACCCACCCACGCACGCACGCACGCACGCACAAACGCACGCACAGACACACGCACAGACACACGCACAGACACACGCACAGACACAGACACAGACACAGACACAGACACAGACACAGACACAGACACAGACACAGACACAGACACAGACACAGACACAGACACAGACCACAGACCACAGACCACAGACCACAGACCACAGACCACAGACCACAGACCACAGACCACAGACCACAGACCACAGACCACAGACCACAGACCACAGACCACAGACCACAGACCACAGACCACAGACCACATACCACAGACCACAGACCACAGACCACAGACCACAGACCACAGACCACAGACCACAGACCACAGACCACAGACCACAGACCACAGACCACAGACCACAGACCACAGACCACAGACCACAGACCACAGACCACAGACCACAGACACACAGACCACAGACCACAGACCACAGACCACAGACCACAGACCACAGACCACAGACCACAGACCACAGACCACAGACCACAGACCACAGACCACAGACCACAGACCACAGACCACAGACAGAGACACAGAGACACAGAGACACAGAGACACAGAGACACAGAGACACAGAGACACAGAGACACAGAGACACAGAGACACAGAGACACAGAGACACAGAGACACAGAGACACAGAGACACAGAGACACAGAGACACAGAGACACAGAGACACAGAGACACAGAGACACAGAGACACAGAGACACAGAGACACAGAGACACAGAGACACACACACACACACACACGTTATCAAATTGTGAGGTTCGTGTATGCTGCGGCAAGCTCAAATGCGCACACTTTGTTGCTCATGATTTGACATGTAGGGGGAAACCGTGGAAAACAGACATGGAGCCATCGCAAACCCGCGCGAAACCTGGCGGCGCAGCAAACCTGGTTTTGCCTTTGTAGGGCGTGCGTGCAAGGAGTGCAGGACTCGTGGAAAACACGCGGGAACCCTTGGAAACCTGTCGGAAACCTGGCGAGAAACCTGGTTTCGCAGTGCTTCTACAAAAAAGCGCGTGTCAGAAACCGGAAACTTGTGGAAAACACACGGGAACCCTTGGAAACCTGTGGGAAACCTGGCGAGAAACCTGGTTTCGCAGTGCTTCTACAAAAAAGCGCGTGTCAGAAACCGGAAACCCGTGGAAAACACACGGGAACCCTTGGAAACCTGTGGGAAACCTGGCGAGAAACCTGGTTTTGCAGTGTTTCTACGAAACAAGCGCGTTGGAAACCGGACCCCGTGGAAAACGCACGGGAACCTTCCGAAACCCACTCTTCAAATACTCATCATCTGGGAGCCCCGCTGTCAGCTGCCAACCCCTTCATGAGGAGAAGGTAAACAATTTAGAACGTGCTATCAATTTGCCTCCGAGCCGTCAGGGAGTCCCAAAACCAATTGACACCTACACTTCCAGGTTGTATAGGTGCGCAAACCAAATTTGGGACCTCTAACTCACTTGCCCAAAGGGCCTAGAAAGAAAGGTCAACCTTGCAGAAAAGACCACAATGTGAACAACAAAAGCTCGCAAGGTCGACTTCGCACAAGTGGGCGTGTCCTCAAGGAATCGGATGCACCAAAAAGCCGGTTTCGGCTGTCGCCACCAAAACTCGGTTGCTTTCTGCTCCCCTGCTAAAAGCTTAACTTTTGGTGGTTTAATACGGAAAACCCATTAGCTGGCAACAAGTTGAAGTCCTTACCAGGGATCCTTACATTATACACCTGAGCATTGCCTTGTCAATGGCGGTTTCCCTGTATTTTGGTGTTGAAAAAGCCACATGTTTCAAATGGTTGCAAAATGGAGATCTTTTAAGGAGCCCTGCTTACATCCCTTGGCAAAATGCGGAAAAACTCACTTGCCCAAAGGACCCAGAAATAGAAGGTTCACCTTTTGGCACCTCAACTAAAAATGGGCCAAACCCAAAAAAAAAAAGGTCGAAAGGTCGATTCGCTTTGGGCAACGGGGCCTTCCCCCAAACGACGAGTCGGCGGCTCCGGCCCCCGGCCTTGGGAGAGCTCCAGCCGCGGCCGCGCCGGAAGCCGGGGCTCTCCGAGCCCCGGGTCGGCAAGCCGTCCGGCTTTGGAAGCCAAGGGGACCTGGGTGTGGCTCAAAATTCAACAGGAGGGGTTGCGCAGATTTTTGGCCCATGTTCCCACTTACCAGGGTTCCATGTTGGTACCGGTTTTTTGAGCCACAGTCACCTGGGGCTTTAGGTCTTCGGTGTCTAGTGAGTTGTTGACCCCGGATTCATGAAGCCCTGTTCATTAAGGGGGTGTCCCTGGCTTTAGTGGGGATCTATCACTTCTGGAGCTGAAAACCATGGCCATACGGGCAAATACGGCCAAATATACTTGAGTTTGACCGGGAAAAAAAACAGCCATACGGGGTGCCAGGCAGTGAATAGTTGTTGGCTGCCCTTTTTGCAGTTTTGATTTTTGGACATGTGTGACCCCTGCCTCGGCGTCGGACGAATCCGCAAAGCCACTGGATTAGGGCATGCGTTACGAGAAAGCTCATTACCGCACTCAGAACCTGGGGTGGTCGGTTGCTGAGTGCTGCTAAATGCTAAGGGCTCACCATAGCTCACCAACGTAGGAAGTCCGGGTGAACCAGCTCACGAATCATTGCCTCAATGCCATTCGTGTCAAATCGCCCAGACTGGCTGGATGCTGGTTGACATACTTGCAGGGTCCTGCAAGCATAAGATGGTCCCTTACCCGCTGCGTTTGCAGGATGCCTACCAATCAAGGGCTGGGAAGGAAGCTAAAGCCACTTACCCCCCCCCCACCGCGGCTGATGAACACGGAATCCCACAAACAACTATCTTAGGGAAATATAAAACGCCTGTTTGGGCTCCAAATTGATTTGAGGAGAAAGGACATTCTAGGTTGCCATTGCTCCCGCAATTCCTTCAGCTGATGTGTTTTAAAGATTGGCGGCCCCTTTGGGATTCATCCGGCGCCAAGCTCTGATGGACAATGCCGAATGGAAGATGATTTCTTGTTAGTCTACCCCTGTTTTGCTGCTTTGCGTGGAACAGTCAATGAGGCAAATGGCTTAGACGCAAAGGTGCGGTAAATGTTGCATGGTACACTTCCTGATGGCCCAACAAAGCGTGGGAAGAAACTGGGTATGCGGCGGAGTGGCTTTCAGAAGACAAAGACATAACCCACCTCCTCCCAAAACACACAAGGCCATCCCCATAAACATAAAGAGATCTTTACAGGACTCCACGGGACATGGTTTTTGGGGCTTGTTGTTGGGAGGGCGTGGGCTTGTGGGCTTGCGGACCTCTGACTGCATTCGACCCTGTTGATCCCTGATGCAGGGGGGCCAGCCACCCATACTGAAACAGAAGGTGCTAAGAGCTGATGTGCTATTTCAGTCAGTAAGCATTGCTCCTGACTTGGGGTCCCAAGCCAGGCACTTGGTTTGGACATACCAGCTTCAACTGAACCAAGGCCCAGTGGCTCGGCTTGCGGGTTGAACTCAGCAGCCCCCGGGTTGAAACTCCAAGGCGCCTGGCACGCTCGTTCTGGCTCGTTTGACTGACCCAAGCCATGGAATCACCCAATGGTAAGAAGTACTTTCTTGGCGGCTGTTGACCCCCTGCTTAAAAAGTTGAGAACTTTTTTTTGGGGGGGGGTTAGTGGAAAACCCAACTTTATTCCCCAAAAAGTTAAAGCCTAAAGATCCAACCCAATAGCAGTTAAGACAAGGGTTTGTTGTTGAAGTGAGCTGAGACAGGCACAGTAAACTCAACTTTAACTTGATCTCAAGCAGGACAACAGTTACCTTGGTGAGAGGGTGAGAACACTGATCCTCAGTGTGTTGACTTCCTGTGGGGTGCGGCCTCCTTACCATCATGAACGTAAAAGCTAGAAGTCTTCTGACCTCCTCTGTCAGCTCGCGTGATTAAAGGGAGGGGACTTGGATTTACTGCCTGATCCTCGTGGGATTTTGTCCCCTCCCACAAAGTACAAACAGTATGTAGAGCGAATGTTGCCTGAGCCTCACTGCAGTCACTGCAAAAAGGCAGTGTCTGATTTCCCCCCGTTTCTACCCAGTTCTGCGCCTCAACTCTACGCTAGTTGCAAGTGCCGCAAAGGACCTGGCTAACATCAAAGAAATCCGAAGAAATCTGAAAAGGGGATTGATTTGGGTGCTGGGGCATGTTGCCCTTTGGGAGCCGCAAGCAGGACCTTTTGATGCGCGAGCATCTGTCCCATCTTTGCAAGACTTTCTCCAGGGGGTGGTCATCCTGCCCTCATGGCAATTCTTCCCACCTCTTCAGTCAAACCCTGAACCCTGTCAGATTTCCTCGGCGCCCACAACTACAACCATAGGGAAGGTCCTGAGGACAATCGGCAAGGTTTACACACCCCAACTGCACTTCCCACAAGTGGGGTGAAACGGTCAGTCCTTCTCTTCAGCATGTGGGGTGGCTACTGGCAACGCCAAAGCGACTCCATTTTGGGCTCGGGATGTGGATTTCCTTTACCAGTTCACTGCTGTAGCTATGCAAAAGCTACCTCAGCCTTTACCCCAAGTAGAAACCATGCTTTTTCCAACAAAAGATAAGAAGGCCCCACATTTTGCAAACTGGTGCTCCTACTGTGAACGGACACAAGCTTGCACCAGTAGGGATGGATGAAACCCAATCAATACTAGTATAAGCACCAACGCCATCTAGCCATCCAACCACTCGGATGTTTGCTGGCCTTCGAGAAATCAAAGAGATCCTTGTGAACAAAACCGTTCCTTGACTTCACTTTGCCCGTTCCAGGATTCGATCTCGTGCCTGCATCTCGGATACGCCAATGGCAATCCACTGCCCGTATTCGTCACCTGCCGCAAAAAAAACAAACGTGTCTCGGTTGATGGTTGGCGTTCCAGTGCTAAGAAAATCATGAGTACGAAGCAAGGATCTGGACGAAATAACATCATACACATCCCGTTTTGAGCTCCTTTACGAAGGGTGAAGACATTCATGCTTCTTTGGCATCCCACTCTATGGCATCCTCAGATTTTTGTTTGCCTCCCGAATCAAACAGTGGTGTCCTGAAATCTTGTGGGACCCTTGGAGGCAAGCAACTCGAATTTGCCGCGTGCCTTTATGTTGACCCAAAAGCGGACAGCGACATCTCATACCAAAAGCAACAACACAACATGTCATGTCCCATTCAGAGGCATGCCGCGCTGGTTTTCACATGATTTTGACGCATTCCCGCCAGGGGCAGGAGAAACAGGCAGGCAAAAGGCAAAAGCTTCCAGACAAGGGGGTTGAGTGTTGTGAACCCGAATCATCTCCCTACGAAACAGCTGCGCCCGTCCTGGGCAGTCTGGAAGTTTTGCGGTATCCCTTCCAAAGGTAAATGGCGTTGAACACAGAGACCACGATTCTGCTTTCTCTACGGGTTTACATGGACCCCCTAGAAAGCATCAGCTTTAGAGGAACTGGTCAAAAAAAACATGTCATAGAGACGGTCCGTTTTGAGGGTGCCACATGAATTGCAAGTTCAAATCCGGGCTCTGGAGCTGAGGTCTGAGTGCGTCCAGCCCAAACTCGCATCTTTGGAGGATTCAACAGGTCCCAGAGCTAGGTCCTCCAGCAGAGAGCTTAGAATAAGGGTACCCTTTTTTTGTGGTCTATTTTAGTAGGGGAACCCTCCCCCAAAAAAGGGTAAAAGGGCACTACTGGGGGACCTAGCAGAGGCTTTGATAAAAATCCTATCCTTCAAAGTTCTGTTAATTTTGTTTGCACTTGGAATTGAATGGCTTCGGATCCCCACAAAGTTTCAAAGGCACCGGAATCGAACGCCTGTGGCCATGCAGAATAATTCAGGCCGCCCACTTCTTTGGCGCTTTCATTTCAGTTGTTCAGTGACCCTGGAGAAAAAAAAGGAACCCTTTTTGGGGAAGACCCTTTTTAGTGGGGCAGCCAGCAAAAAAACAAGGGGGAAAAAGAATTGGTGCCACTGAACAACTGAGATTTTCATTGGAACCCCACTCCGAACATCCCGCAAGACCGGTGGCTCGGGTAGCCCGATGCGTCGGGATCGAAAGCCCGGGCTTGGGCCTTGAGCGTACCACCCCTCGTTCCAGTCCGGAGGCGCGTCGAAGTAGACGGGGCCCTCTGGCACTGGCCGCTCCCAGTTGCTGACCTCGGTTGGAATTTTGGCTAAGGTCAAGCCAGCTCACTTGGAACGTCAAAGTCAGGTATTCACTCACTTCCTGAGTAGGTTGGCCACAACAAGTCCGATTTTTTTCTCTTCCACCAAAATGGTCTCCCCAAAACAAACAGTTAAAATCCAGGAACTCAGGCGGTGAGGTAAAATGGTCACCCAAAGCCATGCTTAAAGAATTGAAGAGGCGGATATCCGCACCCATCAATGGCTGGGATTGTCCCTGATCCTCCAATGTTCTGGGTTTTGATTGTGAGGCAGGCACGCATAAGTCTAGAAATCGAGGAAGTGAGTCAAGCATACCAAGCTCACTGGCTGAGTGGATGGCCCAAAAAAAGTTCAAACTTTATAATTGGCAGTAAAATTGTCTTGCCAAAAAGTTTAAAGTTCATGAACTCAGGAAGTGAGCAAGGCAAATCCTTAGTTGATTGGTGTGCCATGTTGGAAGGAAACCTTAACTTTCTCGGGGGAACAGCGAAGGAAAACTCCAAAGAAGCCGCCAACTGAAAATTGATCCGGATCGACATTGTACGCGTCACAGAAAAGGATTCGTCATACAAGGTGAGCAAACTATTTTTAAGGCAACCATTCCACTTGTGTGGCTTTCTGGTTCTCAAAGCCCGAGCTTGGATTTGGATGCTTGGAGCGCGTGCACAAGCCAATTGGCCCCGACCGAGCGAACATGGCGGGCGCTCTACGAGCAAAGAGTGAGGAAAAGAGAGCGAAAAGAAAGCGGACGGAGACGCAACGGAAAGCAGCAAGAGCGCCAAGAAAAGCGTCGACTGAGTTGAACTGGAAGAAGCAAGGAGAGCAAGGGCAAGATGCTAAGCAAAGAAAGTGGGGAGGAAAGCGGAAGTGAAAGATCAGCAAGAAAAGCTAGCGAAGGAGAAAGGTGAGGAGCAAAGCTCATACCCGAAGGTAAGCCGAAAGAACTGTTGAGGCGGCAGTGGGCGGCGGAAAGTCAGGGAGTTGAACCTCTGTGGGCGGTTGTTTCGCCAGGTGATTCAGCATTTCAATGCATACCTCGCCTCCAAACCTTTTCCAGGGATCCTTACATTATACCCCTGAACATTGCCTTGTGAATGGGGGGTTCCCTTTATTTTGGTGTTGAAAAAGCAACATGTTTCAAATGGTTGCGGAGCCCTGCCATAGCCAGCGGGAGACCACAAGGGAAGCAATGGCACAAGGATGAAGGAACTTATGTTGAACAACTCCACCACCCAACCCTGAAGGCAGCGATCCCACCAAAAAAAAGACAGCCATCAACTTGCCAAATGCTGCTCTCAAGGGGCTACGGGCTGGTGCCTCCGAGCTTTACGGAGGGCACGCAACTGACCTGTATCTAAACCAAGGGCATGGAGTGAGGAGTGCGTGGAGCAGTCTATGGAGTATCAATGAGAGCTGCGTGCGAACATACCGGCGCGTTTCTAGGAAAATGCCCCCGGTGCATGCTGGATATTCTGTTCCAAGCCGAACTGCCCACAGCAATTCGAGCCCACGCGAACCCTGGAAGCGGCAGAATGCATCAACTGACCAAGCATGATCTTGTTTCAACGGCTGCACATGTGCAGAACGTGGCAATTCCCGAACTTTAGGGGGCATTCTCTTATACTGTTTGGGTGTGTCGTTCACTTGGGGCTCCATGACGTTGGCATGTCGTTTGCGAGAAGTCAATACTTACCGGGGAGCACTTCCCGTTGTTGACCACAGACTGGGAACACCCCGTCGTCCAATGAGTTGTGCATGCCATGGGCGACAAAGCGCGAGCCCTTTCAGAGCAAAACCAGCTAGAACAAACCCTAGGGGGGGAAAACCACTGAACAAGAATAAAGAGGTCTGCCCCAACCGTCACGCCCAGTCCGTCTAAGATGCACGTCCGTCATCAGCTGCCCAGGTCAGAAACTCCTGATTGCTCTCCTCCTGCACATGGTTGCCGAAAGTGACCCTTTCTATGATGCCAAAGTGGGATTCCCATCCCAAAAGAAATCCAATCCACTTGGTGTCATAGAAGCTGGGCTACCGCCTTTTCACTCTGAAGGAGATGTTCTTGGTATCACAAGGGACCATCTGAATACACACACAAATCACGAATCTGCCACTTCAAAGGAAAGGCTTTTGGTATCACACAAAGTGGCCGTATAACTGCCATTGGTAAGGGATTCCCTTGGTATCATGGAAGCTGGCAACCCAAAAGCACGTCCCACACCTACTTGATCAACTTGAATAAGATGTTGCTTTCATTTACTTGGGTAATTATCAGAACCGGCAACCTGAAAGCCCAAGACACACGACCAATCTTCCAAGCAGGTCCTGCACAAGCACCCCGTTGCCGCAGCGCCATTGCTGCCACCGGTCCAGCGAGATGGTGAACCTCTTGTCCTCGAAAAGTTTTCATACCAAACAACTCACCTGCTGCAAGCAGATGCATAGCTTCCAGCTGTATCAGCTGTATCCTTCTGGGACCCTGTCAATTGGAGCTTTTTCGTTGTTTCCCCCCCCCCCCCTTGTCTTCTCGAGGGATCCTTTGGATTGCCCTAAGCCAAATGGCTTGACGATCCTACTCAAAGAAAAAAAGAAAAACAAAACACGAACTTGATTGACCCGTCATTTCGGAGTAAGTCTGACTCAGCACCCCATCCCAAGGTATCCAACAGCCGAACAAGAGCCTGCCCTGTGGTGTGGCAAACATTCCGACCAAAAAATAACTAAACAAATAACACATAGATTATCACCAGAAGGAAGCTCAAACACAACTACCAAGCAAGTTGACGTGGATATGTTTCGAACAAACCTTCGCATGTACCAACTCCATGAAACTTGCGATCCAAACATGCTCAAATTGAAACCCTAAGTTGGACCTCTCGCCGGACTCCCTGGCCGAGGCCGGTCGCCTCCCTTTTATACAGTAGTGGGGAACCAGGATCCGGGGGGTTCTTCACTTTGGGGAAAACCCCCTATTCATCCTTGGCTCATCCGGGAGAGAGACCTTGCTGCGTTTTTAAGGAAGGACCCTTGTTCAGCTCGTTTTCACGTGGCTTTTCCAAAAGGAAAAGCACCAGTGGGGGTGGGAGGTTCCCGGAAGCCGAGTCGCAGGCACCCCCAACTTCTGCAAGTTCGCCGAGAAGGCGAGCCGCGGCTGGCCCTTGCCTTCAACCCGCATATGTCAGCAGAGAGGAGAGGGCGAGGGGCACAAGAAAAACCGGGCTTCCCTGTTATAATGCATTCCAGAACCGCTTCTGTAAAGTCGCCGAAAGTGGTGTATCAATGGCCAAAATGTCTCCGTGAGGCAACCCGGTTTTGTGTCTCAAAATCGGTTGAACCCCTTTGAGTGGCTTTCAATGGGATGTTTATGTAGTGCTTCAGCCTCTTGGGTGACTTTCGTCAGGGGATACCTTCACTTTGAGAAACGCCCAATGGCCATGGCAACCCCTTGTGTCGATTGGAAGGGGCAAAGGCAGAGCGGTCGTAGGCAAAGGAGCACCATTGTTGGGCAGTTCGAGTTGCAAGCACAAACAAGAAAGAGCACGCGCCCTGCACAACTGGCATCGGCATCTCCTGCTATTGTTCCCCCTTGCAAGGTTGGGCAAGTGCCTGACCCACATACGTCGCTCTCTTAAAATCATGGCAAAAATACGGTATGAAATCCATACAACCCCATTCTAACAGGCCCCCTACAGTGCCGCCAGCTTCAAAACAGCAGCAAGGCTTGGCTTCAAACCAACGCCCACACCACACGTGAGATTTCCCTTGAGCTCCCGTGAGCTCCGCTTCCCTGAGCTCTAGAAAAACAGCTTGGAGCCGCTGCTTGCCGGATCTCACCCGTGTTTTTTTTGCTGTGTAGGTTCTTTAGTACTCGTTTAGTACTCTTTTGTTATCCTACATGGGGTGGATCCACAAAAGCCACCTCCAAACTGCTTTCTAGATGAACTGCGAAGTCCGTCTGCCGCCGGTGCGCCGCCAGGCTTTCTTTGGGGATTCCGCCCGGCGAAGCGCTGAGAGGCGGGAGTGACCACGATCTTGTGGCCCAAGTTGTCGAGCCACTCCCCCAGGAAGTGCCTCAGCTGATTTGGCTAGTTCCAATAAGGCTAACGCATATGTATGTGTAAATATAATTATATATATATATATAATAATAATATTTATATATATATATATACATATGCATCCGTATGGATATACATCTATATACATATGCATTCGTATGGGTACATATATATATATATATGTGTGTGTGTGTAAGAGAACCTGAACACATACAATCATTATCTAATATGTATATATGTATATACATGCTAGCCATCTCCAAAGATCTAGTGTTTGTCGTGGTTTGCATCCGGGAGGCCACCAGATACAGCCAAATTGTTGCATGCCCGTACTCTGTGTCCAGCCCGTGCCCTAGGCCTTCAGGCTTGTCAACCCGGACCAAACCAGAAAAATGGGTTGACACACCAAGACCAAGCCAGAAAAGTCTCGAGGAAGACCTTGCGTCTGTTTTGTAAATGGTTTTCTGGAGGTGGTTTCCGGAGATTTCTTTGCTTTCACCGTGGCCACGAGTCTGTGACACGTCTTCCCAAATTTCTCAAGACTTGTCTAATTTGGCATGGCCACAGGCCCACTGCTGAGTTTCAATGGCTGTCTCGAGTTGCTCTTGTTTACTTGTTTCCTCGGCTCTTGTTGCTGATTGCCTCGGTTTGGCAACCCCTTTCTCTTGTTTGGTGCAGGTTTGACAACCCGCAAAAAGAGGTAGACAAGGTGGGTCTTTCGGGAGGTACCATATATGTATATTTTTCTATACATATGTTTGACACTATGTTATGTAATTATATGTATGGAACCTCGAACGGGAACAAATTATTGATTGTCGAAGCTTGTCTGCTTATTTGACTGTTTCAGCGGAAATGCCGGAACATGCATGGAAATTCAACCTATTCTGAGATCGCATGCTTCAGCCAGCCCTGCTGGAAAAGTGCTGCAAGTTCTGGTGGGACATCGGCAAGAAATACACGGACACCTGTGGGACATACGCAGACATCCTCAAGAAGTACACGAAATCCGCGGAAAAATCCGTGGCTCAAGCCCCTGTGGCTGGGTACTATGACAAAGAGCTAAGATTGGAAGCCAGCTGCAGCACAAATAAGCATTTTCTGACGTGCACGAGTTTTCCTTCCGCGCGTTTCGTAAACAAATGGTTCCTGAGTGAGGGTAAGCAGGACATATGTGTGCGCGGCTAGGAACTTCAATAAGGAACACTTCAGCAGGACAACAGCTTTGACCTTCAGTGTAGCAAAACGTCCTTGCGGATTTGGTAGGATGTATGGTTGCATTGCAGCAGGTGCGGCATGGTCAATGATATCGCTGTTTAGTCAGAACGTTGAAAATGCTGGCATGTGAAAGAGCACGTCCAGGGCGGTTAATGTTCACACTAGGGACATTCAAGATGCTAGGGGGAAATGGTGTGAACATTGTTGGGGCAATCCAAGAGGGAAAGCGTTCATCCTGGTGGCGTACCCTGGTGAGCAAAAAGTCGTGCCCAATTGCACGTGGCTCTCCTTGCACGGTGGTTTCCCGTGAGAGCCACCATGTCGGATGCTGGACATTGGATGTTGGATGTTTTGGGTGAACAGCTTGCAACAAAAAGGATCCTGGTGGTTGGCCGAGTTAGTGAAGCAAATGAGTGAGATATTGGAACGCAGGTTGGAACGCGGGAGTGGTGCTTTCGTGGGCTCCCTCCGCTCACTGATGAATGGAGGCAAACAAAGTCATGCCTATGGTGGGACAACACTACATAAGGGGAACCCAGCACAATCGGCAGTTAGGAAGCTGCTGTCTGATGTTGCACAATCTGGAACATAAGGGAAACCAAACGAATCTGAGGCAGCCAAAAAGAACCAAGAGCTGGTGGGTAACCCTCCTTACAAGGCCCTCAATAATTATAATGGGATTATGGGGTATTGAAAAACAAATTACGTGAACAAACGTAATATTGAGTATAACGATGGGGAAATATCTAGACCCGTATACTGACGCAATAGAAACCCTCCTGACCCAGTTGCTGTGGGTCCCAATCCTCGGTCTCTGTGTCTCCTGGCGCTTTCAGATCAAGAGGGGCTGACTGGGATTCCTCTCAGTCACAGCCCCACCAGTTACCAGGTTGGGCCAAGCTCTCAACATTTTGAAATGGGGCTCGGGTTCAAATCCCACCACCGATCAATTGAGGGTTCCTGAACTACTGTTACTCGAACAACGTGTTCTTGATTCTCCTTTAAAGCAGTAACAACAAAAGACAGGCAGGTTATTTTTGTCGAGCCCCTGGCGTGCTGCAGCCACGGAGCTCTGGTAAGGTTCTGGTGGGAGTGCAGGGCATAGCCATAACAGTGAATTGGGTGACTCCGGTTCAGCCAAATGAGCATGTAACCATCAATAGAGGCTTCTTAATGAGGTCCTGCTAGGAATTATATGTTTCGTGGCAGTGTCCATCAAAATCAATCAACAAAAGATGGCCCTCCTAAGGTGAATTTGTCCAGCACCACTAAAAACCGTCGATTGAAGGGATTCAGCACTGCGCGCGCTACATGATTCTAGTGGGTAGCCCGAGCTCCCTTGCAGGAACCCGGACGCAACAGGTGAACGTTCTGGAGCCTTGACAAATCATGGGACACCATGCTGATGTCCAAAGGAAGGTCGACCCGCTTTGGGGCAAGGCTTTGCAAGTGATGTCCAAGGCTTTTTCATATGGTTCCCCTTGAATGCTATGCTGAACTGACAAAGCCAGGGCCTGGCCCGGTGGCCACGGACAGCTTCCGTGCGATTCGCTGAAATTCACACCCCCCTGGTACTCAAAAGGCATTACAAAACGCTGTGGTTGTAGACCTTTGAGCCGCGTTGTTGTTGTTTTTTTTAACCCGTGGCTGCTTCTGCCAGGTGCCAGGGCCCGTCAGTTCTTTGGCAACGCACAGAGCCCGGGACCCTCTGGCGACATAGATGCGGCGGCTCGCCTTTTGAGAGTCCAGCAGCCTCCGGTGCCTCGGGCCACTCGTCGGCGTCCATCTGGCTGGAGCTCCCGTAGGATCCCCAGAGGCATAGAAGGCAACCAGCCATGTCCCCTTGCCCTCAAATTATCCTGGTGAAAAACGCCACTAAAAGGAAGGCAACCACAAACATGCTTCCTTTTAGCAACTTGAAATGGTTCCGAAAGATATTGGGAAGTGGAACCACTAAAGTGCAATTGATTGGTTCCCATGAAGCCGCCACTTGAATTTCCATAGGGAAGCTGAGGGACTGTCGAGGGCTCTGAAAGGCACTGGCCCTACCCATGTTATGGGAACATAAGACAAGGTTCGGTCCCTAAAGGGTCACTTCACATTTGCTCCCTGTGGTGAGCATGACATCACCTCATCTGAAATTCAAAAAGTGAGGAAGATATTCGTGCTGATACCGCGGTTCGAGCCTCCAGGCAGTCAAGTTTGACTCACTTCCTGAGTAAGCCGCCTCCCCAGAAATCCAAACCTTGATCTTCCCGCCGAAAGTCCAGTACCTCTTGCATCCAAGTTTGCCTGCCCAACAGCTGACGTATCACATCTGAAATTGTTGGGAAGCGAGTAGCACGAAATGCAACAAATGATCCAGGTCACCTTCAGCGGCTACATCCTGTTGGACTAGTCCGGAGAAGCCTGCCAATCAGGGAAGGCTTCCCCTTCTTGGCGGGGAATCGATTCATTTTTGGGCAACTTCCGAGGTTGGCAGCGCGCGCCTTTTGGAAAGGGGCCTTGCCTGTGCCCCAAGCCATGCTTGCCTGCGGGAGGGTGGCGTTTCCCATCCAGTCAAGGTGATTTGGGCAGGGAGCACCCCTTGCGTACTTTTTTGTCCACAAGGTCCATGGTTTTGGTGTCCGCCCTGAAGCCAGGAAGTGGCACCTCCAAAGTACTAGAATGGCCAATATCGTAGCCCAGCTTCCCACCAATTTGGACACCACGAGGGTGGCGAGGGTTGCAGACCCCATGACAACCTAGGTTTTTTGTCAGAGTGCTGGACCCCTTTTGGTGGGTTTCCATCCAGTCCTCTATTTTGAGAAGCACCCAATTTGGACCACGGCCTGGGCCAACCAATGCGAAGGGGCCACCCATTCTCCCACACCGCAGGCGGCGCCTGCTCAGCCCAGCGCTGCTTGGAAGGACGCCAGGAGTCGAGGCTCCATGCGCCTGACAGGTGGTGACAGGGGCCATGCCATACACATATAACAGATGTGTATATATGCATCTATATATATATATATATATGTGTTTCTGCATGTATGTCTATAAGAACATATATGGCTATAAAATATATACATGTACACACATACAGACAACTCCACACACATATGTGCATATGTATGCATATCAAAGCACTGAACCAAAATGTGACATACTTCAAAACATACATAGATACATATATACATATATATATATATATACATATATACATATATACATATATATATATATATGTACAGATATGAAAAAATAAACACATGGCAGCCAATCAAGCAACAGGCTTTGACCTGAACATTGAAGAAACTATACCAAGAGTTGGTTTTCCTTTCGAAGCGCAACACCAACCACCAGTCTCAATTTTGAGCAAGCCTCTGGCAACTTCTCTATTTCGCAGCCCGGCGGTTGGTGGGTTCTACCTAGCCCACTGTGAGAGCGCCAAGGCCTCTAGGCCTGGGCTCAGAAAGGAGCCTGGAAGTCAAATGTTGGCCTGTGGGGACCTTAACAAGAAACAAACCAACATGAGTTTGAACCAAATAAGCAACCAGCCGACTGCAACAAAAGGAAGGAAACATGAATCCAACAGACATGACATCTACAACTTACAGACAACTCAATAGAAAGCTAACTTCAAAGGTGCACGTCCAATAAACAACACAAGACATCTAAAGAAACCAAAGGGAAATGCAAAGCAGGGATTCCTATCTTTCTCTTGAAACTCACCCCACCGACCGGAAATCACTTTCAACTTGTGCAAACGCTGATGCTTGAAAGCGGCGGAAAAGTCAAATTGAAAACCCACGCACCCACCAACATCAAACCTGGCTGGGGGCTCGTAAAACAATATCCCACCAGAAGAGACGCTCTGGCAGGTTCCATATTATATAGTTGGCGGAAGGAAAACTCAAAAAGTTTGGTTTGGCAATGACATTGGGAAGCAAAGGCTCTTTAGCTCCCAGTTCAATAGCGGCAATGTATGTATATACATTTGTTCTTTCTATTGATTTATCTATCTATTTATCATCAATTGTTCGTGGGTTGTTGGCTGCCCCCAAAAAATAAAAATGCCAGTCAACTCACTGTCAGTCCCTATCTGCCTCCATCCGGCGCAGGCTTGGCACCGATGAGGGGGGAGTTCTGGTTCGACCGCGCCGACTTGTCTCGGATAGGAAGGCATGGGTGGTTTTCCTCTCACTCGCCCAAACAAACCCCTTCATTCTAGGGTTGATTCCCCATTCTTTCCAACCATCGTTCTTTTCACAAACCAGCTGTTTCCCTGGGTTTTTAATGGTTCCCTGAAAAGAAGGATCCCTGGAAATGCGGAAGGTAGCCCTAGATTCATTTTCCCCTCGCACCAAAGACAATTCTCACCTTAGACTGACCTCCAAAATAATGCTAAAACAAGAACCCAGCTGCCAATGCAAGCGACAAAAACAGATTCACTTTCTCAGTGGCCAAATTGCAAGGTCTGGGTGAGGCATTGAGTCGCTGGCCCGGGCAAACTGCCGATCTCTCTCTGGAACCTACAACTGGACCATGGGAACATCACCAGGTCGGTTCTGGTCAAGTGAGCCTAAGACCCCTGAACATGTGTTGGAACATCTCCTGGAACATCGAAAATCCGCAAAGCCGTGTCTGTCAGAGAATCAATCCACAGAAACATAGCCTGTTTCCTGGTAGTTCCATTGCAGTTGATAATCTATCCAGGCGTTCCCTGGAAACTCCAAGTTAGACAAATCCTTGTTGTGGTGGCTTAGCAAAAGAATCCGGGAGCCAGAGCCTGAGAGGTCTACAGGACCTCTCCAACCGCTTTTGAGTTCCCAATCTGCAAAGGGGATCCGGCAGGGAATGGACTTCCCCGGCCCAGTCTGATCTGGTGACCTTCCAGCTTGCTAAGTTCACTGGTGCTCAACAGTTACAACTTACAACTAGTTGCATCTTTACTAAACCAAAAAGAAGCTGGCCCCAAATAATTTCTGCCAACCGTTCCCTCAAATAGCCAGAACATCCTTGAGTCGCAGGCCATTGATGCGGGAGCAGGAGCTTGCCGCGCTGTCAAAAATGAGATCCCTCTCTAGGCGCCCGGATTTCCGGCGGAAGGACGTCGGGAACTTTGAGAACTCGGTGTCACCTGCACCCCACTGGTTTTTAGAGAGGGCCATTGACCCAGAAGGACAAAAATATATTCCTCCACACAAAAAGAGAGCCACGATCTCCAAACCCAACTGCAAAGAAATCGCGGGCCCGTGCCCCTCCCGTCCAAGCACCCTTGAGCTACATCGAATGTGACGGATGCAGACACGGTGCTCACTTCCACCAAATGGAAGGAGCCTGGGCTTCGGCTTGCCCCGTGGGTGTTTCTGGATGAAAGTGTGTGGCGCAATTGGGGTCTTTGGGTCAAAAGGGTATTGGACAGCCTTGATAAACATAATTCCCGCATAATTTCGTCATCCCGGCCGACTTAACGGGAACTGTGGCATCTGCTTTGAGGGTGCGAGTGGCACCTTGGAATGGGCGGAGGACTATGGCAATGCTTCCAAAGCAGCCCCCCCTTTTTAGGCCTAACAATGTGAGGTCAGTCGAAGGGTCCATGGACAGGGATGTCCCAAGATGTTGCTCACCCAAAGGGTTCCTACTAGGGAGCAAACACAAAAAATGAGTAAACTTGACCCACCTCCCACGACTTTTCCGGTACTGACTGATGCTCCGTGGAAAATGAGGCGCTTGTTCCATGTTCAAGCGAGGCCAAAAGGAAAACAATCACTGGGAAGGGACAGCTATTTTCAACCCAAATGGCTGCCAAACCAGTTGGACATGCTTGTGGAGCCGTTTTTGCATGCCTTTGAGGCTCGAGTTGCTTGTTTCACCTGGCCCTAGCCATGCCCGCAAGCCCTGCATGCCCAGCCAAAGGTCAGCCGATTCTCCCCGACACAAACAGCACACCTCCAGAGGGCACTCCCAACTCCTTAGGCTTGTGACCGTTTCCTGGTGGTTTTCTTAGCAGGAACCCACTTCATGAGGCAGTTCGCCTCACACCTAACATGGAACGTCACTGGGTCCTGGCTTCCAAATGGCACCCTGTGGTGGGTTCCATGGTCACCGTGATTTGAAGAGCTTGGAGTTGGGTGTTTCAATCACAAGAAACCCACCGGTGGTGATTCTCCTGGTTTCCCATCGGCATAGTGGCTGGGAGGCCTACTGGCCTTGACCAAAAGTTTGTTCGAGCGATTTGTTTAGGCAAGCGAGACTCCGAGCCTTGTATGGGCACCAAAGGGGCCCGCAATCCCGACAGGAACTAGGAGGTACCCTCCCACATTGTCGGTATTTCCGACCACTACATGAAGGGTATATACCTCATTCTCCCAGAAAGCAAGCCATGGTTGGGGAATCGCCCGCGCATCGCCACGTGCAGAAAGGGGGGGCAACCCGCTTCCAAATAAGAGCAAGATGGGCGTGGAGACCCAAGGCTTAAACAGGGTTCCTGGAAGTATCTAAAACTCACCTGCTCTACATAGAAGACTCCTGAAAATCCGCGGACAAAGGCCGGCGTTTTGCTTGAACCCGGCGCGGCATGTTTTTTTTTGCGCCGCGGGGCTGTTGCTGCCTGCGCGGCTCCGGGGAGCGGGGCCCAGACCAGGAGAGGAGCAGCTGCCTGGAAAAACATCTCTGAGGATCAACCGCGTTTGTTTCTTGCATCTTTAGTGTGCAATTACTCTCACTTCCTGAGCGGATTGGCCAACAAAAAGTCGGAACAAATTGATTTACCACAAAAATGAACTTCTCAAAAAGTTCCAAGTC